GTCGCGGGTGGCCGGGGAGCCGGGGTCCCGCTCGTCCTCGCTGGCGGAGGGCGTGTCGTTCGCCTCGTCGTCGTCGGCCTCCCGCTCGTCCCCGGGCGGCTCCTGGGGTGCAGGCTCCGCAGGCGCGGGGGCCAGGCCGCTGTCGGGGCTGAGCAGCAAGAGCCAGGCCGGAGGGGCTGACGCCGCGCCCGGGGCCCCGCACCGGTAGGGGCCGCGGCCTCCGAGGGCAGCCTCCGCGCAGAAGAGGGCCTTCCTCTCCAGGCTGAAGTCGTGCTGCGGAGAGGGGCGCGGAGAGGGCCGCGGTGAGGGGCGGGACTGGGATCCCCACCCTGGCCTGGGAGCCGCCAGACCAGACCTGGGCAGCTTCTGATTCTGACCCTCCGGCGTCCTTCACCGCCTACCGCTGCCTTGTTTCAGCGATCAGTGGGGCCGGTGCAAGTCACTAACTGGTCAATGGCACTTGCGGGCAAGGGAGGAACCTGTTACAGCGACAAGCGGTGAAGCCCAGTATCTAAAACCCTGAGTCATTCACTGTGTCACTGAACAAGAGTAACTTTACAAAGTTTTTCTCAATAAAACTTGTTCTCGGCAAAGAAGCCTTTCCTGGAGGCCAGTCCAGGTAGACAGACGTCCCTCGGGAACAGCAGTACTGTCCCTGGAGTCTGGGGCAAAAGCAGACAGGCCCGGCCACCTGCCCTGTAAACTGTGAAGGTCCCACTGGAAAGCACAGAGCCGTTAAAGAAACTTTGGCGTTTTATAGAAAAGGGGAGCAAAGGCAAGGGCTGGGGTTCTGCAGCAGTCACTGGGGGGTAACAGCTGGCAATGTAGGAATGGTGGTGAAGCCCAGTCTGGCTGTGGGGTAGCTCAGTTTCCTGAGGTCCTGGGAGAGCCATCATCATCTGAGGAGTCAGTCCCCCTCATGAGATGGCAGCTCCTGCTTTGGGGGGCAGCCTCAGTTTCCCCCCATGGGGTAATTGCCTCCATGGGGGTAACCGCATCATGGGGGTGGTCTGCAAGGCTCTGCTTTTCCTGGAATCTGAGGTGGCTGCAGGCTTAGGACAAAGACTCAAGACTTCTAAGGCATTGTTCCAGGGGGTCTGGACCTGGACTTTGTAAAAGATAGCTGGATGCTCCTCTGAATTCTAAAAAGTAATCTTAACGATTAGCTCGCCCCTGTGCACAGCTGAGCAGGGGTCCCATCCAAAGTTTTCGAGTGGTTAGGGGATGTAAAGTCCTTCTGTTCTAAATTATCCATTGGGCATCTGAAGCCCAGCCGCCAAGGCCCTGTGGCAATACCTCCCTCTCCTCTTTGCTGCCATCCAAGGTTACTTGGGGCTCAGGAAATGTGATAAGCTAATCTTCAATGAGCTCTGCTGAGTAGGTTCAAGTGTCATCCCTATTTCCAGATTATGAAAATGAGGTTTGGACGATTTTATTTGCTGAGGCCAGGCTGGTGGTCAGCAGACACTGTGCCCCTGTCGACTGGAATGGGGTAGAGCTCAGAGGAAGGGCATTTCCTCACAGGCAGGCCCCAGGTCCAACCCCTGGCCCAAGAGCAAAAACAATGATCTGATGTCTTCTGATGTCTACAGAAGTAATCTAACTTGAGAGTTTATAAATGCAGCAAAAATAAAGAATTTTGGTTTCCTACCTTTAAATTAACACACACACACACACACACACACACACACACACGTCAAGAACAGAAAACATAAAACTCCATCAAAAATACAAAACTTTTAGGGCTACAGGCATGATAGAGCACTTGCCTAGCATGTGCAAGGCCCGAGTTTTGGTCCCCAGCACTGCAAGAAATTAATAACTGAATAATTTTAATAAGAAATTTCAGTGTTCTCCCATGGCTACTTAACAGGAAGCAGTGTTTGGAGATGGGGAGAGGGAGCAAGCAGGCAGAACGACAGACAAAGCCAGGTGTGGTGGCACACACATGTAATCTCAGTACTCAGGAGGCTGAGGCAGGAGGATCACTATGAGTTCAAGGACAGCCTAGGCTACCTAGTGAGATCCTGTCTCAAACAAACAAATAAAAGACACAGACATTTGCACACTTAAAGTGTAGGCACTGTCCCCCTCACACTGACATGACCCTACCTTGCAGAAAGGAGCATAACCCAGCTGTTCCCAGTGACTGACTGTATCTTCAGGGTCCTGGGAGGGCCAGGCACAGAATGGACATGAATAAGCATGTGCAGAATAAATGGCTCGAAAGAGAGACTGGAGCAAAAAGCAGGTAGGTTGTGAAGGGCAGAGGAGGGGGAAAAGACAAGTTCATAAGGGATGCATACTCAGAAGAGATACACTGTAGGACTTACAGGCATAAAAAGATACAAAGGCCCAATAAAAATACCAATACTGCTGATTTTAGAACTGCACAAGATGATTCTAAATTTCACACAAACAAACAAACAAATATGAATAACCAGAAAAATTCTGGGGACAAAAACATAAATGAGAACTGACATTCTAGTTTTCCATAATTAAACTATGATACAGTGCCATACAGATTAAAGGTATATAATAGAAAGCCCAGAAATAGACCTTGATGCAGATGGGGCTTTAGGAAGTAATAAAGGTGGCGCCTCTGGTGCCAGGAAAAGGGGTACCAGTCCATACATCACGTTAGCCAGCTAGAAAAGAAAACTGGATCTGTTCTATGCTATATGCACAAAAGGTCAAAGATTCAAATAGGTGACATGAAACCATGAAAGTACCAGGAAAAAAAAAGCAGAGATATCCTTATATCTCAGGTAGGTGAATCCTTTCTGACTTTAGATCAAAACCTACAAACTATTAAAAAAAAAAAAAAAGTTCTGCTGCTACTGACTGTAGCAGAAAATTTTCAAACTATAGTTTCCTAATTGGGCCATCAGACTCAGCCAGCCTTGACTAAACCACCCAGCTGCAAAGCAGAGATAATTGGACTCAGCTCTGTCTGACCAGCTGCACAATGCCGCACACACATCCTGCTTTGCTAGCCTGTTTCAAGGACTATCTCCCCGGGACAGGCTGGCCCTGTCAAGGTCATGCTAAATCTTACTCGCTTGCCCGGACCCTGACTTCCCCTAGACCTTCCTGCCTCATGATGAACGCCCCCACAAGTTAAACCTGCCCCAGACACATCTGCCCAACGTGTGACCAAATATATGTAACCAATTATAGACTAACCTATTATCCACTTTGTACTCCCTGCTTACAGAATAGAAGTTGCTATTTTACCCTAAGGCAGGGCTGGTGATTTGGATCTCGCTCCCACCAGTCCAGCAGAGTAAATAAAAGTAAATAAAAGTTGCCTTCCCACTCCTTGGTGCAAAGCATTTTCCATCCGGTTCTGTACAGAATCTGCAACACTACCACTGCCCCCCACCACCACCATGAGCACCGAGGCATAAAATGCACATGGCAAACACCCAGAAGCAAGGTCAGATGGGAGAGGTGGTACTCATATGCTGGACAAAGGGCTAACTTCACTAAATAGAGTAAATGCTTAAAATAGATAAGAAAAAGATTAACAGCAAAGCAGAAAAAGTGGGCAACAGCGTCCATTGGAAAGAAAATAAAGTGGTTCTTAAACATATGAAAAGTTGCGGAACCTCATTTGTCACAAGAGAGGCAAATGACGACTACCCTGAGATACCATGTGCCTGTCCCTGGGCACATCTTTTGCTGACACTTTCCTACGGAGACTGGGGATAGGGACAGGAGGAAAAGGCACTCCTACCATGTGGACTGGGCTGTAAATCACTATGACTCTAGAGAGGACAGTGTGACAATATACGCAAACAAATTCCAGAGTATACTGACATCCAGTCTGTGGTTCCCTGCAGCACTGGTTATAAGGGCAAAACACTAGAACAACTGAACTGCCCATCCACAAGGGACTAGTTCAATAAGGTATGATAAATCCAAACAACAAGGGTGTGCAGTGCAAAACAAAATCGAAGCTTTCCGTGTGCTCATACAGAGGTCTTATAGCACACCAAGTAAAAAAATCAAGAACAGTATATATAAAAGTTACATTCTTAGCCGGGTGTGGTGGCGCACGCCTGTAATCCCAGCACTCGGGAGGCTGAGGCAGGAGGATCATTGAGAGTTCAAGATCAGCCTTGGCTACAGAGTGAGCTCAAGGCCAGCCTGAACTGCATAGCGAGACCTTGTCTCAAAAAGACAAAAAAAAAAAAGTTACATTCTGTTTTTAAAAAAAGGGGAAATTGTTGCATTTATTTGCATATACAAACAAGAATCTCTGGAAGGAAACGTTAAAAATGAGTAGTAGAAGCCACGCGTGGAGGTATATGCCTATAATCTCAGCACCCTAGGAGGCTATGGCAGGAGCACTGCAAGTTTAACCCCAGCATGGACAATTTAGCAAAATCTTGTAGCAATATAAAATTTTTTATACTACTGAGGAGGTAGTGCCAAGGCCCTGTGTTCAATCCTAAGTACAAAGCAAAGCAAAGCAAAGCAATCCTAAATGCAAAGCAAAGCAAAGCAAAGCAAAGCAAAGCAAAGCAAAGCAAAGCAAAATAAAACAAAATGTAACAGAGGTTACTACGGGAAGTGGAGGTGAGGAACAGGGTGGGTGGAAAATGTTGGGAGGCTTTTCATCTTTCAGGGGTAGGCAAACTGCCTGCAGGCCAAAGTGCCTGCCACCCTGTTTTTGCAAATAAGATTGCATCGGAACATGGCTGCGGCCATCCACGACGGCTGTGTACAGCTTTTTTTTTTTTGGTTTTTTTTTTTTTTTTTTTCTCTGGTACCGGGAACCGAACTCACGACCTTGTGCTTGCCAGGCAGGCGCTTTTGCCGCTGAGCTAAATCCCCAGCCCAACAGCTTTTCCTTCTCACGACAGCACAATAATTGCCACAGAGGTTTTACAGTCTGGCCCCTCACGAAGAAATGTTTGTCGATCTGCTTTACACATATTAATTTTTAAACCACATTAATGTATTTTCTAAGACAACTAACAAAAGGAAAAAGGAAGTCGATGAGAGAGAAACAGGACAAAACAGACCCGGCAGGAAGGGCTCCTCGGGAAGGCAGCCCGGTGGAGGGCACGGTGCGGCTCTGAGGTTTGACAGACTCCTGTGGGAGTCCTGGCCGTTTCTCTCACCCGCCGTCTGACCACATGGGCCACTCGGGTGGGAGCGTTGCTTTGCTGTGCCGTGGTGTAGGAACGCCCACTGCTAAATGGATCGTGATAAAAATAAGACAGACCAAATGGATGGGGAGCGCCCGGCACAGCCTGGTGAACGTAGGTGCTCAGTGAATGAATGGTGGCTATTATTATTCTCTTCCCTTTGGGCCACTGCAGGTACATCTGGAGACTGAACTACCGTCTATGACACTGTCGCTAGGGGCAATGTTTTCCAAGTTCCAAGGCCTGGGTGTACAGCCCAGGGACCTCCGAGGCTTTTAGCAGGGCAGGCTGCCAATCCTCGTGGAGCCCCACGCTCCCCTGTCTGTTAGTTCTGCCCCTCAGCTGAAGAAGGCAGCTCAGAAGGGGAAGACAGTCCTGGAAGGGTGGCTGCCCGCCACGTAGACGCACAGCCAGGCTCGGCAGGTGGCCACGGCCTCGGCAGAGGGTGCTGTTTCTGCTTCCAGGAGGGGCCCTGCAGGAGGCGCGTTTGTCAGTGGGTCCTGAGCTGAGCAGGGAGGGCAAGCCGGGATCGTCCACTCTACTGCAGGGTGAGTAACCAAGTTCCTCTTCTCACCAACACAGGCCGTGTCAGAGAGTGGGCGGCACAGGTTGCCGGGGGACAGCGGACGCTCCTGGACACGGGGCGCGTGCCCTTCTGCCTTGTGCTCTGGGCTTCTCAGGGCTCGGTTTGCTTCTGGATGCCTCTGTGCAGCTCCGGGGCTGCCGACGGGGCAACGCTGCGCTGCGTCTCCTCTGCCCCCGGGTCCCTCACTGCCAATACTTACGATAATCACCTTTCTCTGAGCGTTAGGCCCTTCGTGTGCAGTGAGTGAGCCCCAAACTGGCCTCCAAAGCATCCTGTAGCCAGGCTACAGCAAGCACCCAAGAGCCCCCTAGGGCTCCAGCCACAGGGGCCTCAAGCCAGCTGCACAGTTCTTTGGTTTTTCAAGCTCATGTCATGGTGCATTCTACCCCAATCCGTCTGTGTTACAGTGTAAATGCAATAGGCGTCTCCCTGAAGGCTTCACACAAGAGTAACTTGCCGACAAGGAGCGACAAGGAGCGGGAGAGATCCTTACCATGGAACCCAGCAGGAGCTCCCCGCAGGCCGGGACACTGAGCTCTAGTGCCGGGGGAGGCGCTGTGCTGAGCACGAAGCCCTTGGGCACCTTGAAGGGGACGCCATCGAGGGCACTCATCCTGCCCGGGGAGTGTGGAGACGGCTCGGCGGGGCAGGCAGGCTGGCTGGAGGGAGAGAGACTGCAGAGTCCAGAGAACCAGGCTGAGGCCTTGGCAGTCTCACCGCTGTGCTGTGCGCTCACCTGGCCGGGTCCCACACCACTGCAAAAGGAGAGATGAAATGAACCAAAACAGGGTGCGTGACACTGGCTCTACAGTATCCGATCACAAGATTGGCCACCCCGACATGGAGAGGAAAAACAACACCAAGTTATACAAACCGGCAAAGAAGAAAAGAAGGGATACCTCCTAATTCATTTTGACCTCATCAAAATCTTGATACCAAACTTGACAACAAAATTAGAAGCCACTCCCTCATGAATATAGATGCAAAAATCTTTAAGAAAAATGATTATGGATACAATAATGTAGCACTGCCAAACTGAACTTGTTTCTGGAATGACAGATTAGCTTAACACTCCAAAATTAATGAATGATCAGTATCAACAGAATATAGATGAAAAATTATGTAATCATATAATCTCTGTAGAGGCAGAAAATATTTAATAAAATTAAAAGACAGTCATGATTTTAAGAAACAACCAAGCCAGGCGTGGTGGCACCTGCATGTAATTGTAGAACTCTGGGAGGCTGAGGCAGGAAGATCACAAGTTCAAGTCCTACCAGGGCAACTTAGTGAAACTTTGTCTTAATATAAAAAAATTATAAAGGAGCTAGGGATATAGCTCAGTGGCATAGTGCCTGCCCGGCAAGCACAAGGTCCTGAGAGCAATTCCCGGTACAAAAAAAAAAAAAAAAAATTGTAAAGGGCCAGGAATGTAGCTTAGTTGTAAAACATCCCTGGGTTCAGTCCCCAGTACAAATGAACAAACAAATATAAGCAGTTCTTAGCAATTTAGGAACAGAGATAGTTTCCTTAACCTAGTGAAGAATATCTTAGCAAAGGTATGCTAGCTAGCACATCCTTGAAATCCCAGTGACTCAGATGGCTGAGGCAGGAGGATTCTAAGTTTGAGGCCAGCCTAGTTAACTTAGTGAGAACTTACCTCACAGTAAACAAAAATAAAAAAGACTGAGGAGATAGATCAGCGCTCTCTGGGTTGGACACCCAGTACCTCCCCGCAAAAAAAGAAAGAAGGAAAGAAAGAAAGAACCTCTGAAGCATCAGTAGCACACATCTCAGTGGTGAGATACTGAAAGACATCTTTAAGACAGGAAATGAAAAAGGGTGCACAGCCATCCCCATCGCTTCTCTTCAGCACACGGACCAGCTTGTGCATAAAGGGCGGAAAACAATAAGGAAAGAGAACAAACATTATTTCTACATAGCATAATTAGGTGTGGAAGACCCAAAAGAATCTATGAATAAAACTTAGAATTAATAATTTAGCAAGATCATTGGATACAAATAATAGATAAAATAAATTATATCTGTCTATATGAACAATAAACTGTTAAAGAGTATCTTCTAAGAGTTTCATTAGAGCTGGGGTGTAGTCCCAGCACTCAGGAGGCTGAGACAGGAGGATTGCCACAAGTTTGGGGCCAGCCTGAACGACACAGTGAGACCCTGTCTCAAAAATGAACTTTATTAGAGATTGAAATTTTTAAAATATAGCCGCACATGGGGGTACTCGCCTGTAATCCCAGCACTTGGGAGGCTGAGTCAGGAGGATCATTGAGAGTTCGAGACCAGGCTGGGCTACAAAGTGAGCTCAAGGCCAGCCTGAACTGCATAGCGAGACCATGTCTCAAAAAGACCAAAAAAAAAGAAAAAAAGAAATGTTTAAAATATACTGTTTATATTAACATCAACCATCAACAGCTAAATCTAACACAAGCTGTATAAGATCTCTACACAGAAAACTACAAAACATTAAATGGAGGAATATACCATGTTA